TTTGGGAGTGAAAGGAGTTTCAGTCATCCTGACTCTCCCTCACCTACAGTCCTTGCAGTCTGATTAATAAATACTCTGATTCTGTTGCTTTTTTTCCCCCAGTAGCCACTGTGTTTGCCCCTGTGCTTCTGTAACTCAATAACCTTTGCTGATCAAATAAAAACATCTATTTCACTGAAAATTTCCAATGCTTTCATATTGCTTCAGTTTCACAGACACAGACCAGAATATTTTGTTCTTACTTTAGATTCTAGGTGTAAAAGGATTTGTTTGAATGATCACAGCCTCTGTATTCTCTGCCACAGTGAAATTACTGTGGTACCAATACAGCTGAGATAACGCTGAAAATTTGGTTTGGCTTATTATAGGGACACATTTAAAACAGGAGTGTACAAAAAAGAAAGGAGTGTGATTATAATGCCAAAATACCAAACATAACTGCTTTACAAATTATTCCTAAAAACGTCATTGGGATATAACCCTTAAATTTTCAGTCATGAACTTGTTGCTTGCAAAATTACTTGTAAAGTGTGAATCAACACCTGAAACACAAATTTATTAATCTTTTATCATGAAATCAAAGCAACCCTATCCCGTTTCTTCTATAATGAAATTAAAAAGTGACCTGTTTTGTTTTGATGAGTCCTCTGAGAAAAGAAGGGCACAGTAACAAAGAGAATCTCATGTTGTCTCAGTTTGGTGTCTAATGAAGAATTCTGTAAATATTAGAGTGTCATATATTTAGACATACAGTTCAGTGCTTAAAATAAATAGCATAAAAGCAACAATGCTTTCTGGAGAGTTCTTTAGCTATACAGTGTCAGCAGAGATTTGAGGAGGCAGAGAACATCTTTTTCCAGGGACCATGAAGGAAAGGGCTGGGCTGCCAGCTGTGGTCAGAGCACCCAGCAGGAACATCTTGTGACTGGCTGGTAGGTAGTAACTTCTGCAGCACCATGGCTGGGCTGGGAAAAGATGCCTTTGGGTGCCAAGTTTGAACTGGCTCATTTCTGCCTGATAAAACTGTAGATGCATTTCCTGAGCTATGGCTGGCAAAGAGTCACATCTGCAATGCCATTGCATAACATCACACTTGTTATGAGGAACTATTGCAAATCCTGACACAGTCCCTGGAAACCTCAGCACTGACAGTCAAAGTGAGCCTGTCATAGGGAGAGTTTAAAAATTGTAAAGGAATAGCAGTAAAATAACATCACCTGCCTTGAAATTCTCATCATTTGCCATTGCTCGTAATGCACCAGCTGCAGTCTGGGGTGTTTTCAGCATACGTGTTCCAAAAATAGCTTCAAAGCTAATCCAGAGGCAATGGATGTGGGTTTTGAAGAGGAAGACATCAGGAGAGCAGTTACCCAGACTTTATTTGGTAGTTGAAGGGAAATGAGCTCTAGCAGTTGGCTTGCTGGTTACAAGAAAGTGGCTTTCACAAGCCACTCTAAAGACTAAGTTTAGATACCCTGAGAAAAGAAAAAAGAACAGTGACACAAAACGCTTTTACAAAGGATCTGCTTATCAAGAGAAGCTTTTGGGCTTGGTTAATTCTAAAAGAAAAGAATTAGTACTAAGATATGTAGTAGTACAGAGTGAAACTCATTTTGAGTGTAGTCAATTGTGCTTTCAAAACAGTTAGGGACCACTGATTCTAGACAGAGGTTTGCAAAGGACCATAGGATAGTGAAGGATATATCTCCCTGAATTTCCCTCCTGTCCCCTTATCAAGCAGCCATGCTCTCAGAATTGGCCACCTTGTTTCCCAGGCAAGGCAAGCTATAGGAGATCAGGTGCAAAATAGGCAAGGAGGATTCTTAAATATCATTTTGGAGTTCATAATATCATCCTGTAAGGCAGCATAGAACATGTCATCTTATACTGCAGTGTTCTAACATCTCTGCATGCCTTATTATGATTCATGTTAAGAACACAAGCAATTTTCTTACTGTTGCACATCCTTCGTAATCACCCCTCACCTAAAGCAGAAGTGAGAGCATCTTTGCATCTCTGTTTAGCATGTTGATAGGTGGAGAAGGAGTTTGTTTGATTCCCGGAATGACCAGGCAGAGGATACCTGCAATATTAGACCAGCGTGGAAGGTCTACCCTGGGGCATATAGAGAAGTCCAGATAAGGCATAAACCAAGTCTGGCATATCTGGAGGAGTGCAGTGGAGTGGCAAAAGCAGATGGGGAGGAGAATTCACAAATTAGCTGGGTGAATCAACAATCAAGACAAATGATCTGGCTGTTCCCATTAGCAGCAGAGAAATGGGGGAGGAAAAGTCTGACTATTAGGGAGACCAGAGGAATTATGAGTTATTAAAATGCCTTTCTGCTTGTAAAGCTGTATTCTCCATTTTAATGCTGGCTACAGTAATGCTTTTGAATTATTTGCCTCTTAGCTTTAATCTGCATATTAATATCAGAAATATGCAAGACGTTCATCTGATCAAATCCTTTTTCTTTCTCCTAATGGATCAAGGCTATTCATGCACGTATACATTTCACTGTGGATTATATCTTGTTGGAGAAACATAAAACTGCTGCTTGTATAAGGTCTGCTGTATTTAAGGCATATGACTACACTAGTCTTTATGAAATACTCTAAAATGTACGTGTATGTCAAAGCTTCTAAAATGGAGCTGATAACATTAATCTTCCTAATTGTTTTAGAGCAATAATGTCCAGTGGAATAATGTAGGTCATTGAGTTTCCACAAAGTTCTGTTCCTGCTTTCATCCCGTCCTTTTCTCCTCTATCTCAGGAGATAATCAGACTATAACTATCAACATACATGGAGTCTAGGTCTCTTTTCTGGCAGATGTCTTTAAGGGGCAAACAAGAGACTGAAAGAAGGACCAAAATGTGTTGTGCAAGCATGAAAAAAATGAAGGGATGAGGTTAGAGCAGGGAAACATCATGTGCAAGCATAAACCAGAGCACCATGAGATGCTACTCTGTGAGCTCAGACTAATTGGTGAGGCCTGAGATGAGTGATGTCTCCTGCACTCCAGTAGCAGGGGTTTACCTGGTCCCCTGATTTCCCCTTTCCAGCACTGCAGATGGTGCACACTGTGGGCTGAATGTGGGAGAAGTGATTTATGTTTTGAGAGGAAGAACAGAAGACAAGAGCAACAGCATAATCTGTAAAGCTGCTTTGCTCAAGAAGCTAAAATTCCAGTAATGGAGAGAGGGTAGAATTATCCCAGCACCTCTCCCAAGTCCCATAATTAATATTCTCCTCACTTGGTAAGAATAGAAGGAAGGAAAATGCCTAGCAGTTAACTGGTGTGATTCTTCTTCATAATGCTGACCAGACAGCAGAGGAAAAATGGGTATTTAAGTGGTTGAATCAAAGGACTTTGGAAGGAGATTGTGTGAATGAAGAGAAACAGAGATAGAAACAGGAGGAAAAAGAAAAATCTGCTGCTATAATCACATCAAACAGTTTCCCATCCATGCTCTAGGACAGGAAGAGAGGAGTTTTACATTAGGTGCTATCAGTAGTTGCACACCAAGTGCCCCCCTGATTTGTGATTATAGCAACGATGTAATATAAATAACATTAGTAGTAGTAATGTGGTAAAATGGAACATTTTTATGGTTGACAACATTGGTTATAAACACTCTCAGCTGGAGAGCTGAGGTGTCTCTTTTGAAGTATAATGTTACAGGGAGGGAACTTGCATTTTCTTTGCAGCTACAGTAGCTGGTGATGTAAATGAACAGTGGAGTCCAGCTGGTATCCCAGCTGGCCAGAGAACATATATTGCTATGTCTTCAGGGTCAAATAACTTAGATAACATGTCATGGTAACACCTGTTGGTGATGCACAAAGTCTGTTCATCCAATATGTTCAGACATACATTCAAACTGTGGTCATGAAAGAAGCATTACCATAGGTGTAATGGGAACTGTAGATTTAAATTCTTAGAAGGATGGATTAGGGTTGATGCCTTTTCATGTCATAAAAGAGCAAGTTCATTTCTGATTTTAAAAAACAGGTAGTTAATTTTTTGCAAAGCCCCTCATGGGGCCCAGATCCAAAGTTATAGCAGGTATGTATGTCTATACTGTATGTCTACTGCCTCTCACCAGCAGCCAGCATTGATAAGAGAGGCCTGAACAGGTCCATCCAGCCAATATTCTGTCCCCAGCTGTGGCCAAAGGTGTTGTTTAAGCTGAGCTTAGGCAAAGCTTTGTGCTGCATTGTTTGTGGCAGTGTGACATTTGGTTTAATATGCTTAACCATCAGGGAAATGAAAGTGAATGCGTCCATGGGAAACAGAAGACAATAATATTCATGCTGCTGATTTTATTTATTTTTTTAGTTTTGATAGTCATAAGCCCAAAGTGCTGCCTGTGACCACTTCTCTCTTTTTCTGTTTCCTCTTGCTTGGGGCTGGTTCTACACTGCAAACCACACGATAGCATTTTGATACTTTCAAATTTCTCCTCAAAGTTTGCCTGCTAATTCTGTCTTTATGATTACAACTGCTTTCTTTGCACAGTCTTGGAAGTACTACAGTGGAAAAAGAATGAGTAATTCCCCGTGTAGTGGAGTTCTTGAGTGTCCATCTTCAGTTAATTTCAAGGCGTGATTGGTTTTAAAGATGGTACCGACTGATTTTATTCAGATCTTTGAACCACTTTCAAATGCTTCACCTTTACTTAGCTGAGATGAATAAAAACTGGTGGTGTAAATGGAAAGGTTTCCTAGCTCCTTTCCTCTTGACTTCTTTTGCTGTTTATAAAGGAATTACCCCAACATTTGAAAGCTGAGCATCTAGGACCTTCTGATCCAAGGAAATGAAATACAGATCTGGGAAAGGTCTAAAAGTTGCTAGAACTGCAACTCCTTAGAAGGTTTTAAGTGTTCAATGAGAATGAGACTTCCCTATAGAGAGGAGCAGCCACAGAGGGAAATAAGTCATTGCAGCAAGGAGAGGAACCACTGCTGTGCTTCTCAGTGCCAACAATGCAGGGGTTTAAGATGAAAAATGAATAAAATTGAACATCACACATTGAAAGACCTTTGAGTTTTCCCATCTCCCTGCTAATGCAGAATTTATTTCCACATTAGTTATGTATAAAATTGTGATTCGTATGGTACTGAAAATCTGGTAATGGAAGAACATGGAAGATGTTAACTAGCAGAAAATGTGATTTTCCAAGAAGATTGAGTCTTGTCTACTCAAAAGTATGCATGTATAACAAAGTGTTTTCTTAGTATCTTTTGACTTGTTGGTAATATTAAGTATCTGTCAAAGTTTCTTAGTGGCACTTACACCTTTGCACTTAATGCCAAGGAGGGAAGAAATGAGGTGTCTATATTTTTCTTGTCTTGTACTTGATAATTTTGGTAATTGCTGGTTTTTACTTCCTGGTCCCTCTAAAAATACAGCAAGCTCCCTTGTGCAGAAAAGACAGATTGCTCTCCTTTTACTTGACTGCACCTATATTTTTTTCTTATGTGCCCTAAAGTAATGCTGAGGATTCTAAGGACAGAAAAAATAAAGAAAATTGTGCACTGACCTAATTCACACTGATAAACCAGATGCTTAGAAATCTGAGAGAATCTTTTCAAAGAAGAGTATGGTGATATATCTCTGATTATTCTCATCTGTACCTGAATTTTTCTTGATCAGTGTTCTAATAGTACTGAGGAAAGTGTAATTTAAGCACAAAAAAATTGACTTTTAACATACCATAGGCACACACTGTTCTAATATTACATTTCTTTTCTCTGTCTAAAAATACTTCACACTCATTTTAATGAGTGTTTAGCATGTTGTTTATTAAAAAAATGGGCAGTGTCACATAGGCAAAACTGAGCAGCTTAAAGTCTGGGTTTTGAGGTTGGAATTTGTTATCTCATTTCTAATTGTACAGTCTGTGTGAAAAGATAAATCTTGTGCTGTTTCTGAGAGATTTAAAAAGTCTGACCTCTGCTTTCACAAGAGAATAACTGGCTATCAGAATATATGAATGTCATAAATTCACTCAACACCCAGAGGTGGTTTGTCCCTTAAAAAAAATCCTTCTTGTTAAGCACAGTCATGTAGGGCCTATTAAAATGCATTAGAAGTGCTAACAGCCTCAGAAAACCTTGGCCCAGAGCTCAAGTTAGTTCCCTGTGCTGCCAGACTGGGAGCCAGGCAGGACGTGCAGCATTGTGCATTCACCAGAGTGACAGAGAGGGATGCTCTGGGGAGGCCACTGGTTCATTTGTGTGACCTATCCCTCACAACATTGAAATGCCACTAATTGGCCTTTTCACCTACTGGGTAAAGTTAAAATGTTTCCCTATCCCAACCTAAATAGAGTCTGGACATTTTAGCCATGACTAGCCAGTGTCTCTGCCTTTCTTGACCATCCAAATGCTTTTTAAGATCTGAAAGAATGCAAACATTCTGAAAAATGTGGTCATTTATTTATAGGCAATGCTGTGCAAAGCTGTGGGTAAGAAGAATTGATTTGGCTCTCAGGAGAACCAAATGAACTTATTCGTTTAATGAAAATAACAATTTTAAGTGACCTGCTGTGTAAAGGATTGTTTTGAGAGTTAGCATCCTACTGGGTCCCAAAGCCATGTTGCAGGGGGATGTGTAATGTAATTGTTTCTCTGCAGTCATTCTGAGATGATGAGCACTTTTAGCATCTCTTAAAAAGCCAACCCCTGGGGTATGCTCATAAGATTGAGACAAAAGTATCATCAACATACACAGTATCTGTAAAACAAGGTTGGTGGAGACATACCATGTCCATTAGGAGGTATCTGTTTGTAGCACCTCTTGGAGGAGGTATGGAAAACTTTTATTATTCACAGTGGAAGGATATCTCAGTAAATCATTGATGTACAATAATCAATGATATGTTTGTGGGGAAATGAGGTTAGTTGGATGCCCATATTTACCATGTAAATTTTCTCTTGTGTCTCCAGCATTGACAAATAGACAGTCTTAAATTGCTCTGGGTAATTCTTTCTAATACTAAGCATCTTGACAAACTGAATTCTTGTCTATATACTAGTAAAAATGAAAGGCAATATGAGGAGCAATAGGTATTCCATTCAAATCCCTGCCTTTTCTTGGTTTACCAGACTTAGATACATTTTTACATCTTATTACTTCTCTATCCAATCTATCTCCAGCAATGAAATCAGCTATACTGTTAGGCTGCAAAAGTAGCCAAGTTGAATAACATTCAGAGCTGCTTTGATATTAAATCTTTATTTCAAGTTGCACAGAGTTTACACTCTTCACTGGACCTTGGTCTATATTATATATGAAATAGTGTAAGAAGAGATGTGGTAGGAAGCCGAATAATTCATATTCTTGTTGCAGTTTCTGAGACCAGTAGCAGGGATGAGCCAGATCACACCTAGAGCAGGATGCTATTGTTGGCAGAGCAATAATTAAGTTGTAGCTCATCTATGTCTCTTGTTTGTGTCACCCATTTCCATCTTGAAGAATCAAATCTGTTCTAAATGCACATAGTGCCAAGTGTCTGGCCTAAAGTACATGTCCTCTCTTTGTAGCCTTTCAGAGATTCCTTGGGAAAGATGATGTGTCTAATGAAATAGAAGAAGTTTTGGCAGAGTCTCGAGTCCAGAGAAACACCAAGTTAGTGTCGATACTTCAGCTCCTGAGGAACCGCGGTGTGCGATGGCAGGTCATTACTGTGGTCATCACCATGGGCTGCTACCAGCTCTGTGGGCTGAATGCTGTAAGTGTCCTTCTTCAGGTCATGGCATCCCCTCTCCCTCTCCCTCTCCCTCTCTAGAAGAAGTTTTGGCAGAGTCTCGAGTCCAGAGAAACACCAAGTTAGTGTCGATACTTCAGCTCCTGAGGAACCGCGGTGTGCGATGGCAGGTCATTACTGTGGTCATCACCATGGGCTGCTACCAGCTCTGTGGGCTGAATGCTGTAAGTGTCCTTCTTCAGGTCATGGCATCCCCTCTCCCTCTCCCTCTCCCTCTCCCCTCCCTTAGCTGTTTCTTATTAGTTGTGGTTCTGTGACAGCAGCATGTGGAAAGGTCTACAGAGTTCTGTATTGTTTGGGGTTTCTTGTAAAACGAAAACAAAAGCCATAGTGTGTTAACTTTGAAGGGACACATGAAAAGGTAGCACAAATCAGCAGAGTATGCAGCTTTCACTTCTGATACTCAGGTTCTCTGTTTCTAGTCTGATAAGCCTCGTGTTTGTTCATAGTCTTTTCAGTAGACATTTCAGCTCAGATTGGTTCAGTTCTGTACTTACAGAAGTCAGCAAAAGTTCCTGTAAGTGGTTTTAAGAGGTAACACTGCATGTTTGATTTTGTTGTTGCTTTGATATTCCTGTCTTGGAAAGCGGAGAAAAAGAGGAAAAAAAAGACACAAAAGACTCAGTAGTGATTCCTGTTAACCCTTAATGTGTCTGAAGCTAATGGATATTAGATGTCTCCTTCTCTATCTGAACCTATTGCATTAGCTATGAGGCAGATACAGGACAATTTAGGTTGGAAGATCCCTGTGTCTGGTCCCTGCTCAGGTCAGGACTGACTTCAGGGTTGGCTCAGGCTACTGAGGGCTTAGTGCAGTTGAGTTTAAAACTTGTTCGAGAATGAAGAGGCCACAACCTCCCTGGGCAACCTGTGCAAGGAATTTATAGTACTTCCAATGTGAAAAGCATTTTCTTTATATCCAGTCAGAACTATCCTTCCTGCAGCTGGTGGCATCTGGCTTAGCTGCCTTATGCTGCATAAAACAGATGTTCTCATGAAGCACCTCAAAGAAAAAGGGGTTTTTGTCATAGTTTAAAGGTGATAGTTGCTTAAATGTATGAAAGGCAATATTATTGCTGCTGTAAGGAGCTCTCTCTGTGGCTCTGCAGCATACTTAGCTAGCTTTTTCCTCCAGGGATAATCAATGTATATACTTTTGTATGTATGAACACTAGGTCAGGCTTACCTCAGGTATGTCTGCAGCTTTAAAACTCCAAATACAAAGTAATTTGTCCAAGACCATTTAAGAGATTAATGCTATTAGAGCTCTGGTATCTAAAAGTTTTGGACAAAATACTAGCAGGGAATGAAAAGATTTTTTCATCCTGTGGGGTGAATTATATAAAATGTTTGTATAGTTGGTGTTTTCTTCTGATGGTAGGATTTCAGTGCTAATGGCAGGCTATTTTATTCTTCATCGTGGATACTTTTTTGAGAAAAGAATCATAATTATCTTGTCATCCAGTCCCGAGACTTATCAATGCATAAGTGAAATAAAATGACACTTATAGTAAGAAACAGATTGTTCAAATAATGGAGCACCTTGCCTAAAAGAAAACTCACAGCTAAATTTTCAGGGATAATAGAATAGTTTTGTGACTTTGAGGATACTTACTAGATGACAGAAATTGTCCAGTATTCTGTGGCAGAGCAGAGCCAGACTCATAGCTTGAGTGGGGATGTGGGGAGACAGTGAGACTCAGAAACGGATGCCACAGTTGTTTAAAAGTGCCATTGCGTGGCCACTTTCTGAAAATATGTCTCAGAAAAACTGTCCTGGCCAGGAAACCTGTGTGTTGAGTTGGCTATTTCCAGCCTTACCTTATTTTTATTATTACTTTGCTTCTTCTCCCATGGTATGCCACTAAGCATGAAAAAAAATTATTCACACAAAATTTGTGTTTTGAAATCAATTCCTTAAATAGTTAACAATAGTTAATAGTAAAATCAAGCAAGTTATAGGAGAGGTCAAGAGAAATAGCTGGACCACTTATTAAGAGACCAGGCTTAAACTCCTTGTTTCTTTTGCTTTCCTGGCTGATCTTGCTCAAGTCACATGAAGCTCAAGATTAGAAGGCAGGTCCAGGTGTGACAGATACTACTGAACCTGTGTCTTGGTTTGCCCAAGTGCATCTGAACTAACCTGCTGGGTGTGAGCCAGGTTTAAATACTGTGAATGCTCCTTCTAACTCATCATTCCCATCATTTGCTTTGCCTGTTAGTCAGTCTGGCCTTTTCCAAGACTACCATCTGGACAGGGCATATGGAAGAGGTGGAATTCTTTCAGGTGAGAGTCTCAGGTCACTCTCCAGGGAAATTGCCAACTGGTAGACTTCTGTAATCATCCTGCTGGTATCTGAGAACACTTGCTTCCTTTTAAGGCTTTTATTTTATATAAAAATTTGTTTTGCTTAAAAACAGTACATTCATTTGTTTTCACATGAAACAGAAATCACGGTGAAGCCCTAATCATATCAATGTCATATTTGCCAATCGAATCCTGGGCTGCAGCAAAAGGAGTGTGGGCAGCAGGTCAAGGGAGGTGATTCTCTCCCTCTACTCTGCTCTCATGAGACCCACCTGGAATACTGCACACAGTTCTGGTGCCCTCAACATAAGGAGGACATGGAACTGTTGGAACAAGTCCAAAGAAGGACCACAAGGTTGGTAAGAGGACAGGAGCATCTCCACTATGGAGACAGGCTGAGGGACTTGAGGCTATTCAGCCTGGAGAAGAGAAGGTTGTGTGGAGACCTCAGAGCACCTTCCAGGAGCTGAAGGGGCTCCAGCGAAGCCAGAGAGGGACTCTTTGTTGAGAGCTGCAGTGACAGGACAAGGGGCAATGGATTCAAATTGAAGGAGGGGAGGTTTAGGTTAGATGTTAGAAAAAAGTTTTTTCTTGTGAGGGGTGAGACACTGGCCCAGGTTGCCCAGGGAGGCTGTGGCTGCCCCAACCCTTTCAGTGTTCACAGCCAGGTTGGATGAGCCTTGAGCAACCTGCTCTGGTGGGAGGTGTCCCTGCCCAGGGCAGGGGTTGGGACTAGATGACCTATAAGGTCCATTCCAACCCCTCAAAATTTTATGAGTCTATCAATGTTCAAAATTTTAACAAAACACCAAACAGTCTGACCTAAACTGGCTTAAATAATTTTGTATGTCTCCTTTGATCTGATGATCTTTATCTGATACTTATCAGCCGTAATAAATTTATCTTCCACCATTGTATCTCAGTTCTAAAGAAGACACAAAACTACAGTGAAGTTTTCACTGGTGAAGTTTATCCATTTTCATATCAAGGAATATGCTGTACTACATATTGTTTCAAGGAAGTCATTCCCAAAGTGGGATCCCTAGGCTTCTGTTGGGTCTCTCCTTAAGGAAAATTGAAAAGAAATCATGCCGGGGATGGATCTGGGTAGCAATGTGTTTCCAGTATGCAAAAGATCTACCATGGTGTGCTCTCCACAGCTGGTATGGGGAACACCTGGCACTGGGTAGTGTAGGAAGGGCTGAGTATGCAGTGTGCCACATAGTCTTTGTCTCTGGTTTTGCCCATCCTGGGTTTGAAATTTCTGCCCCATTTTCCACAGCTTTTTCATTGTAAAACGTTTAGCCTAATCATTAGCTGATTTTGTTAGCTAATGAGATCATTAGCTAGCAAAAACCATGTTAGAAAAATTACTTAGGTGGAAGTAGAATAGTCGTCATTAGCCTAGTAAGTTTGCCAATACATTTCCCTGTTTAATAGTATATGGGCTGAAAAACATTCACTTTATTGTTTTGAAATGTGTGTATTTTGTTCATTTTTATCCTGATTTATTTTTACATTGCTACAGAGAGTAGTAAATCAGTGAATCTCATCCTGTCTTTGCTCTGCCAGTTTTTTAATCTTACCATCTGCGGTCAGTCATGCTCTTCTGCAAAACCATTTATGAAACATCTGATATTCTAGTCGTCATATTTTGGCAAATTGCATTCAGGAATTAAGTGTTAAATGACTCTTTGGTCTCTTTCTTTGCTTTTAAGGTGTGCAATTTCTCTGTCATTTTAAGAAGCTCTAGCTGCTATTCAAAACTGATATGAAGAATGAAATAGTATGAAGAAGAAAATAATTTTTATCAGTTTTTGTGCTACCTTGTTTTCCTTATATACTGTGTAGTTATATGGCAAGTGAACACATTGTCAGAGTAGTGTGTCCCCCCAAAACTGTCAGAGGTCATAAACATTTCAGAGGGATTTGGGATCTGATCCTTGAGTTTGCTTCAGTCTGTGCTCTGTGCCAGTGCACATTTAACACTAGCACATCTTACATGAAGGCACATTGCTTCATACAGAGAAGTTTTCTGCTATAATTTCTCATCACTGCATTTGTTCTGGTAAGAGCTGATGTGCCAGCAGTAGGAATAAAAGTCTTCAATCAGCTTTTCTTTCTGCAAGGTGCTAAAATGACTCCTTAGTCCCTGGTGGTTTACTTTCATGTTATGTAAAATGAGTTGGATTTTCTTCCTTGATCTGGGACATGCAGCTTCATTGAAGGGCTAGTTGTGAATTTAGAATGTTTTTGGGTTTTTTTTTTAGCAAAACTCCCTAGTTAGTACCTTGATGGACAAAAGTAGCATGAGCATAATATGCTGGCAGGCAGCAGGGTTTTTCTCATGCAATCAGGACACTTCATTCACCAGACAAACCTTTTGTTTAGCATTGCTTGCCCAGTCCCATGGAGAGCATCTGGGAAAAAAAAATCCCTGCTACTTTTACCTTTACTGTCATTATTTCTGGCTTTCAGTTTTGTTGCCACAGGTAATTAGTTACCTGTGGTTTACAACTTTTCTTTTGATAATCAGTTGTTTCAACTATTTTTCATTTTCTCTATAAGTCATTTTCATCCTCAGGACAGTCTCTCCCTGCTGCATGCTTTAGGCAGCCAAAATCTTTGGCTAGTTCTTTGCTGTTACTTTGAGTCCAACATAAATATTGTATGGTTTTCAAACTTTATTTGTGATGTGAATGGAGCTCTGATGCTTATCAGACTTATTATTTTAGAATATCACCACTATATATTCTCTGCCTGGATATTGTCACCACTGGATAAGATTTTACTAACCTCCAAGCTATGCAACCTGGGTTTCTGCCCAGTAGTGACAGCTACTTCTAGCCTATGATTCAGTTCATCCTAAAAACAGCTTTTTACTTTTCACCAAGCAACTCTTTCTAAAAACTGTCTTTTCTTTCTGTGGATAATAAAGACAGATTAGGGTGATGGCTTGGCTGCAGATGTCCACACTGCAGGGAGTTTAAACTAGAGATAAACCTCACACTTTCTGGCCAAAAACAAGCAGCTTCTGCAATGCTTCTCAACATCTCTTTCCTGTTTTCTCATCTGCTGTTATGTGCCATTGAAGTATTCCATAAAGCCACATGAACCTGCTTGTTAAGCAGTGTGTGGCTCAGTCACATAAAACCTATTTGTATCCTCCTATTCAAGCTTAAAGTGAGTTTCTTTGATTTACTCCTAAAATGAATTAAGCTAAATCAAGTTAAAGCTGTTTGTAATTCTGCCTGGGTCTGCAAGCAGAAGTACAGCAGTGTTGTGACTAATCCACCTGGAATGTACACCTTCCATTTTTTTGTTGTCCTGCCCAGTCCTTGGTGATTTGGGAGCGCTCAGAGTTTTAACAAGTCTGGTCTCTGGCATATTAGATGCTTGAACTGCATACAGATATCTTCTTGTTCAATCCATAATGATTAAAAACTCATTTTTTTCCCTCTGATACAGATCTGGTACTACACAAACAACATCTTTAGTGAATCTGGGATCAAACAGGAAACAATCCCCTATGTTACACTAAGTACTGGTGCTGTTGAGACTCTGGCTGCTGTTTTTTCTGTAAGTATGGTTAAAAAATTCATTCACATGCTTGGTATATAAATTACTGATTTTATTTCCTTATAGAGGCTAAAATATAAACAGAATATTACATTGCTTAAGTGTAATGGTTGATGAAGCAATTGAAAATACTATTTCTATTTTTAATCCCCAACACACTTTTGCATCAGTTTTTTTTTTTTTATTTAAAAGATGCTTTTTATTGAAAATACTATTTCTATTTTTAATTCCCAACACACTTTTGCATCAGGTTTTTTTTATTTTTTTTTATTTAAAAGATGCTTTTTAGCATTAGTTCCATAAAATGAGCATAAAATGTTGGTGTATCCTGAGGTGCTTTGTATGAGTGAAGAAGGCTGAAACAGCAAAGCCCAAAGTATATTAAATGGTAAATATGTATGCTAAATGAGTAAACTTACCTGAAAATTTTAGTAGGTGAATACATGCTTTAATTGCTAGAGGGAATACATTTCTCTTTGCACTGCAATAAATAAGAAGCAATGGGAGAGCTATTTGGAATGTAAAGTTGCAAACAAGCAAATTCCTTTCTTTCTTAGAATTTTCCCCTACCTTCATATATTATATACCAAATATATTTACACAATACTGGACACACCAGCCATTCACTTTTAAATGTCAGAAGAATGTGTTTGGAAAAAAAAATCCTTTCTGATGGCAGAGCAACTGCTAATGACCTATAAAATGTTAAACTGAACCCAGCCATCAAGTATATTTTCTTACAGTCTAGGACATAAGGACTCCAAAATGTCAAAGAGCTGCTTTCAGTGTTCTGCAGCCTCACGCTGGATGTATCTGGTGTAGAAGTTCAGCTCAGCATGCAGATCATAGAAACACAGAATTTTAGGGGTTGGAATGGACCTTATAGATTATCCACTCCCAACCCCCTGCCCTGGGCAGGGACACCTCCCACCAGAGCAGGTTGCTCAAGGCTCATCCAACCTGGCTGTGAACACTGCCAGGGTTGGGACAGCCACAGCCTCCCTGGGCAACCTGGCACAGGGTCTCACCACCCTCACAGTATCAACATGTGTTGAAACTTGCCCTAAAATCAATCTCCAGGCTGAGGGAGAAGTGTTTGCCTCTCAAGGCATTTCATCCCTGGGTGACTCTGTACTATCCCTCGATGTATTTCTTCTGAATCCTCCCAGTGGAGTGGTCTGTGCTGTCTTCCAGAATTAAGGGTTGCATTTGAGCTGCTTATGTTATATTTTGCTCAAAGCATGTGTGTTAAACGGGTTTCAGTCTGCAGTAATCAACAATATGGCAAACAGTTGAGTGATTCTGACTTTAGCTTACTTGTTAGGGGCTTCATAAAATTGTTTTGTTTTTCTCATAAGTAAACCAACTTAATTACAAGTTTTAGTAGTTTCCACCAAGAACTGCACATCAGCTCTTATGACCTAAAATATGTAGTAGCCTATTTTAATCAGTTTCATGTTAGAGCTTTTCAATAAACTCTTGATTTTTTTTCTTCTCTAGCAGATAAATATTCAGATTTTGTGCCTTATCTTCAGATGTTTAATATAAATTTTAAATGGATATGAGTGCACAAGTATCATTTTTACAATCACTTGTCTGAGCAGTTTTCTGCTGAGTGGATTTCTTTAGTTTGGACATTCTAACTACACTAACTATCAGAAATCATACCTAAATGTTTCTTCTGTGTTTGGAGAAAAAAAGAAATTGAAAATAAACTTTCATTTAATAAAAATTTTATCTATACTTGAAAGCTCTAAATCTTAAATTTTAAACCTTTTAAGCTTAAATTCAGAGGAATGTTGAAACTCAGAAATAGTCAAAATGCAAAAGCAAGAGATTAATTTGCTTCAACATATTAATCTTTAAAAACTGCATGTTGTAAGAACATTATTACAGAAATTTGGGACAAATTTGTAAGCCATTCCATCAATATCCAATTATTTATGCCCTGAAAAAAATCAAACTTCACTTAGTTATCATCATAGTAATTATATTTATATAGCTAATGTACATTGCTTGTTTAGTTATTAAATCATTGCACAAGAATGTAGATGTAGTATTAACTTTGAAATTTCCCATGCTAATGGTATTAAACTTGGATTTGCATAGTCTGTTCCTGTCTGTATGGTTATATTTGTTCTGCAGTAGGAAATCCAGGCATAAAACAAATACCAAGTACTGCTTGGATGGTTTCCTTGTTCTTTCAACAAGGATGCCATGCTGACTTGTTTTTTCAAACAGGTTAAATTGTGTAAACATAATTGCAAACACAATTACTAACGTCACAGCTGATAAATAGTGTAAAATCAACTTTGGTGGTTCTATTTTTGATCTCCATATTTTCTAGGAGAGCTTATTACATGGTCTATGTTCTTCAGTGCTTTTTCAAAAAAGTCAAATGCCACTTTTTGTTTTTTCCAGGGCTTAGTTATTGAACGGCTTGGGCGTAGACCTCTTCTCATTGGAGGCTTTGGGTTAATGGTTGTCTTCTTTGGAGTACTTACTGTCTCCCTGACTTTACAGGTAACACTGTGGTCACTACTTATTTTTGCTCTGTCTTCTGCCTGTTTTAAACATACTTGATACTGGTTTGCCTCGACATTCCAACCTAAGCCAATCCTTTTAATCAGGCATAAGGATTAAAAGGTCTCTTCTGCTAGTTTAGGAACCTGTTGGTTTCAGAGTGCTATGGTTAGCCAGAGCAGCTTTTGCATTAAAAAGGCATAGGGGCTTCACATAGCATTCACACTTTGCTGATGGAAATCCTCACCTGTTGGAGAGAGAAAGGAATGGCCATCCATGGTTTTTTCCCATCTATTAGTATTAGACTTGAGCATTCACAGACATGATTAAGAAACAGTGTCCTGCAAACTCAGCAGAAATTTCTCACTGTATTTCAAGTTCATTTAGAGGTCAGAATAGAGAAAAATCTACTTAGAAGGAAGATTGCCTTGTGAGGAAAGTAAGTGATACCACTAATAGTTCCCTTAAAGAAACATTTATGGGTTGTCCTGGTTTTACCTCTACATATTGTTTGCACACATAGTCCTCCTTGTCTGCACAATCAGATTATGGATAAAATCCCTGGACTGTGGCTTTTCCATGCTTTGCCAAGGTTCAGATTCAGTTGTTCTACTGGATGGCAGCCTGACATGTCCAACCCTCAGCCCAGACTGGTGAATTTGAAGCTCTGTGGGCCATCATAGTTGCTCTTTTTGAACATGACAGAAATACCTGAAGAGGATGAAGGTTCTGAATCTGTTCAATGGAAAGATAACCTCTTTTCCAGGTTGGCTTGAACTTTAGCAGAAGAAGTTGTGAACTTCAAAGTCCTGACTTCTGTGGTGCCTGAGCTTGTCTAGTGTTTCTCTACAGGGATTCCACAGAGACGAATCCCTCCAGTACAAATTATCTAATAAGATCCTGCAGAAATACTGTGATTTTCTAAAGTAACCCCAGGCTACCTTATGAAATAGATAAAGAATTGTGGAAAACACTATGTGATTTTCTAAAATACTTATGATATGTAAATATGCTTAGTGTGAATGTCTTTTATCTACCCAGGACACTGTGCATTGGCTTCCTTACCTCAGTATATTTTGCATCCTTGCAATCATTGCATCGTTCTGCATTGGACCAGGTATGTCTATATGTTTTCATGTTTCTCTGTACATCAAAGCACAGGTATATTTGCACTGGCATTACATTAACAAATCCCTTGTATGGAACTTCACTTCTCCCAGGCAACTAGCAGGAGGACAAGAGGGCACAGACTCAAGCTCTGCCAGGGGAGGTTCAGGTTGGATATTAGGAAGGGATTTTTTACAGAGAGAGTGATCAGACATTGGAATGTGCTGCCCAGGGAGGTGGTGGATTCACCATCCCTGGAGGTTTTCAAGCTGAGACTGGATGTGGCACTTAGTGCCATGGTCTAGTAACCACAGTAAGGTTGGACTTGATGATCTTTGAGGTCTTTTCCAACCTGATTGATTCTATGATTCTATGAATACCACAAGGGGTCTAAGTCAATAAAATATAGCAACACAAAATGATAGCAATATTCTTGATAAAAACCTGTGTATGCGTGCTCTCATTTAGGTGTCAGAATATTTGAGAACCAGCAGTTCAGTGCTTGTAGAATTAAAATGGGATGCTGGTGAAGGGGGAGGAAGGGAACAGTTGTGTATGGATCCTTTGCTCTCTTCCTTCCAAAGTCAGAGAAACACTGAGCAAGAGGGTTTACACATACCCTTTTCAGAAATATGAAAAGGTAGGTATCCTGATGATGGAGCTGCTTCATTCTGGCAGTTCCCTACTGATTGTCTGCATTTCAGAGCTGATGCCCTCAGATAACTGCTTTTGTAGATTGCATTGAGTTTATTGGAGCTATTTTCTTAGCCCAGCTTTGATTTCTTAGAGGTGGATACAACTTTTTGGACAAGCCAGTGTTCAAAGGTTATAATTTTTGCATTTCATTTTCTGTAACTAAGAACATGTTTGAAGTGTAAAAGAGTGATAAAGCCAGACCTTTCTCAGAAGTATAGAATGAAAAGAGCAGCAGCCAGTTCTCAGCAAGGCCTATTCTGACTGGATAGAAGTGAAAAAAAAATTTGGACTGAGTATAAAGCACTGGAAGACTTTGCTCAAAGAGGCCATGAAATGTCCATCCTTGGAGCTATTCAAATCTCAGCTGAACAAGTTCATGAGTAACTCTGCTAAGACATCTGAAGTCCAGAAGTTGCTTCCAACCTAATTTATCCTGTGATTCAATTTGAACCATATCTTTGGAAAATGCATTTTAATAGAGATGCAAATACTTACCTGAGTGTAGTATTTCTCTAAATAGTATTGCTCTAGTCTTCAGATACTTGAACAGAAACAGATCCTGCAGTTACCAAATAATGAAATGTTAACAAGAAATTATATGAAAATAGATAGGAGGAATGTAATCCTCATTCAATTCACATACAGCCTAAGATGTCAAAACAGTGCTTACATTTTCAAAGAATTTCTTACAGACTGTCCTCCACAAAAAAAAGGGAAAATCAGGTGCTTTTTAGGATTTTTTCACAGTAATTCAGCTGTAAACCAGAAAGTAAGACTTCTGTTCCCCTGAGTTCTCAGGGGTTTTTCTTCATGCATTATTTATTGCCTCTTTTTCTTTGTAAAGGGTTGGACATTAAAAATTAATCAACAGTTTATACATCTTCACCACCGACCTAATTAATTGACTGTGGTTTATTTGGGGAAGGAAAGAGTTGCTGATGTTTCATGTGACTCTAATGAAACATTGCTGTAATTCTGTGCATCCTTTCTTTGGAAAGCTGAGATAAAAATATGCTGGTTTAGAGTAAAATGGGGAGAAGACCAAGGTAGTCCTTTCCCCCTTGTTTCTGGGAAAAGAGTTTGCTAGTAATTGCTGTGCAAGGTCCTACATCTGGGACAGGGCAATCCCAGGCACAGCTACAGGTTGGGTGGGGAAGTAATTGAAACCAGCAGTGAGGAGAAACACTTGGGAGTGACAGTGGAGGAGAAGCTCACCATGAGCTGCAGTGAGAGCTCAGCCCAGAAAGCAAAGCGAATCCAGGGCTGCATCCAAAGGAGTGTGTTCAAACATTTGTCATATCTGACAGTAGTAGGAATATCTCAGTAGCACTGAACTTTGGTTTGCTTTTAATGAAAATTTTGGTAATTGACACTTCAGCTGTGAATATTTTATCTGACTTTAATGGAAGATGATTTATCTTCACTGAAATCTCTCTATTCTCTTTAGTGGGGCTTAGGAAGGGCTGCATCCAAAGGAGTGTGTTCAAACATTTGTCATATCTGACAGTAGTAGGAATATCTCAGTAGCACTGAACTTTGGTTTGCTTTTAATGAAAATTTTGGTAATTGACACTTCAGCTGTGAATATTTTATCTGACTTTAATGGAAGATGATTTATCTTCACTGAAATCTCTCTATTCTCTTTAGTGGGGCTTAGGAGATCTGAACTACTTTACTACCCCTTAGTTAGGAGCAATTCTCTTTCAGAACATGAAGCCAACTTCCATTATTAGCCATGTTTTAAAACAGTTGAATGAGAAGATATATTTTTTCCTGAACAAAGAAAATATTACCAAAAAAGTGAGACATCCACTTTGAATCCACTGCTTTTTATATCACAAGGCACAGCTTCAATATCTGGGTGCTATTACTGGGACAAGTTTTATCCTCCAACCCAATACATCAAAAGCCTGTGGCAAGTCCACAGAGAGTCACCAAATCAGTGCCAGGAGCCCTGTGAGAAGGGACTGGGTGAGCTGGACTTGTTCAACCTGGAGAAGAGACAGACTTGGGGCCCCTAAGAGCTGTCCCAATACCATGAGAAGGGTGAGCCAGGCTCCTGCTGCTGTGCTGAGATGCTTGAGGGACAGAATGCATACGTTGAAATAAGAAAGATCCAGAGAGACTATAAGGAAAAAAAAGCCTGTTGTTTATAGGCAGTCAGGCAGGCTGCCACGGATATTGAGTCCTTAACTACCACACAAAGATCAAAATCGAGTGGTTTGTGTTTCCACTTCTCTGCAGTGCAATGTCTGTAGGAAAGTGCCTAGAGAAAAATACAAACAGGGCAAGTAGGTGAGACACCTTTCCAGAACCTGTGCATTTTTTTCAGTTTAAGGCCTTCCTGAGGCATAGTTTTAAGATTTTCACAGTCTTTCATGGCCTTGTTAATTCTCTGTCTGAAACTGCAAAATTTTAGCATTCTTTGGCAAAGAAAAGTGCATGTCTCTGGCCTCTTATGCACATGTCCTTTGTTGTGATTTGTGTGATGACCTGTAGTTCTTTCAGAAACAGAGCAACTGATCCCCTTCCTCCCTCTTCAGCTTGTGATCTTGTAGACTTTTACCTTATCATCCCAGATATTTCTTATTGCCACCTGTTCAGTGCTATTTTATGACACCCCCTTAGCAGGAAAATTTCACACTTCGATATCTAGCATTCTTTTGTAGCACTCTGGTAGTTTAATGAGACAAGGCTGAAGTTCAGGAATGACTTTCCCACCTTTCTGGTCAGTAAAAAGTTTTTTTCCCAAGAAAATTAATGTGTATTCTTTACTATAAAGTTGCAGATTTTTTTTATGTTTTTGACCATTTGTATAAGTTCTGACACTTGTATAGGCTGAACAGATATTATTGCTGTGGTGTAACTAATGCTCAGTATCTTATTTCATTCCTCCTGTAGTTATTTAGAGCATCTCAGCATTCTGAAATGGGTAAAAACACATGGTTTGAAATGGTTCCATATGTACAGATCTTAAGCTAGGTTGAATTTAATTATGTTCACTGAGCAATTGGTACACAGGAGAATTATCCCACCCAAAGATAGTAAGCAACGTGAGGAATTGAGTTTATAAAAATATTGCTCTGACTTTCTGGAGCATAAAATTGCCTTTAAAAGTACAATATTCTCACTCTTGTTAGAACATCTGATACTTTCTTAATAGCTTAGATGCTGTGTGGTTGGTCTCCCACTTTCTGAGAGCATGTGAACGAGTCCCATCTGCTCCTCTGCAGTTAGAATCAGCTGTTACTATAAACTGTGGAGGGGGTTTATTTGTTTCGTTTTTCTGAACTTGTCTTTTCAGCTTGAAAATGTTTTTGAGGCATATTGCTAAGGACTGACACAGGAATGCTAGCGACAGGTACATTCAGGCATGTGTGTGGTTTGGTACTTATAATGTTTATCACAAGACAAATAGCAGAAAGCTTCACTTACTAAAAATGAAAGGGACCCTTATGCTCAAGGTAGTCAATCTGTGATCTGAAAGAAAAATACCCTTCAAAAATTGTTTATTATTTTATAGATTAGGGAGCTATGCTGGTCCAGACAGTTGCCTCCTTGTGCCTGTTTGATTACTTATACACAAGTGAAGGTATTTGGTTGCAGAGAAATTGAACTGCTTTCAATATAACTTATGATTATGGGAACAGAGTGGTAAATAATTTCACGGTTTTCACTTCAGTCAAAGGGCACAAACTTCATGAAAATTTTTTTCTTAGTCACAGAGTTGACCTGAAATGAATATAGGATACATTTCAACTGAAGAAGTGTCACCTAGCAAAGAGTAAATAGAACTAGGGGGATTAGTTCTGGCTCCTAAGGAGACAACAAGCAAAAAGCCAAAAATCATTAGAGAAAAGAAATCAAAGATAAATAGCAAGAGAACATTTCCAATCCCTACAAAAAGTATTTGTGCTGTTCATATGATGCCTCATGAGGAAATGCATTGATTTTTAATGTCTTTACTGAGTGGTTAAATAATATGCAGCTCCTTGGAATTCTGCATAGTGATAGAAGGGCTTAGGTAGAAATGAAATGTCTTACTTTAACTTTGCCTTAGACAATTTTTAAGGAACAAGAAAAAACCAAATGTTATCCCCACTTTCTCCATTAAACCTGTGTGGCTGCCTCCACGTGGACACTGAACACTGTCACATTAAACTGTGCCTGCAGAATTGATCTCTTTCTGGACAGACACTCTAAACTTACACAGAAAAAAAGAGAAGGTTCTGCTTATTTTTAGCTGTTTCCTTGAATTGTCTTTCTGTACTGTAATGGCTAAAATGGTCATTGTGTTGTCACACGTTGTGTCAT